ACCAAAATTCTACTCCCGTATACAAATTTTCAAAAATTTGCATCTAATATTTACTGAAATATCGCAGTTTTTGCATTTTTCGAAAATACCGTTATATGGGAAGTGTCCGATTTCGTCCATTTTCAATATCACCTACCTTGGACAAAGAGCAACCTACATACCAAATTTCGTTGAGATATCTCAATTTTTGCTCGAGTTATCGTGTACACGGACAGACGGACGGATGGTCCGACAGACATGGCTTAATCGACTTCTCTTTTCCTTCTGATTATTTATGTATACATTTGTCCATAGCTATCTCGATTACCCTTGTGCTCAAGTGCGCTCGCGTATAAGAAGCACGTTCAGCAGACAGCTTCTACACTCACAACGCATCATCAACGGTGAAATATCCCGCGGTGATAGAAAATAGAACCTTCTTCATTAAAGCAACCGAAAATTCTGGAAAATTCGCAAAAAAAAAACTTTACCTAAAAAAAGGGTATGTGTTAGAGATGGGCAGGGCACCAAATAATTAATTCCGATCCCGCCCATCCTGATATTCGGGTACCGAAATCTATCACTAAGAAAATATTCACATGTCTTTCAAATTAAATTTAAATAATAAAAACAAAATATGAAAAATCTGGCATTTTCCGATTATATTGTTTTGCTTTGCTGTTCGTTTTCGTCCCAATAAAAAAGAAAAAGGTGCATATTTCACAAATCGTTTTTAAGGAAAATTTTCTGAATTCACGGAGTTTGCGATTTTATCGGGAGTGTCCAACCCGCGTGTCCCGATATCCCGCGCCCATCTCTAAATAGTATGCACATCTATCCGGAATTAGCGACCTTAATGCAACCAAGAAACATGAGTGGCGTCCTTAGCTTTTTTTTGCTGTAGACGCGTTTTTAAACATCACTATGAATCAAACATTATACAATTAGATGAATTAAAGTACGTCTTATCACTATAGACAACTAATAAGATATTCCTGAATCGGCATAAAAACCGCAGACATCGCGTTTTTAAATCAAGTAGTACTGGTTTCAAATCGAAAATACTGCAATTGACTTTCATGGATTTATAAAGTGCATTTCGCGATTTTAAGAACGATTCTACAATAGCTAATTAATTGCGCTGTTATACATTGCGTGTCAATCGAAAAGGAAGGAGTTCCGGCAATTTACATATACAAATAATTTTTAATGGAAAGTACCACAATATTAGCCCAAACGCGATCTTAAAGCGATTGAGAACTTAATATAATTTTGAAATCTTTTAATAACCTTTACAAAAAATTTTGTATAACAAAATAAAAATGAAAAAACCATACTCATTCTTAACTGAAAACTGAAACTGAGAAAACAAATTAAATCTAACTTCTTAACTTCCAAAATAATTCATAATCATTTTTAACCATAGGCAATTCATTCCACAAAAAAATTCTACCTTCGAAGAAGTATTTGACCGCTTCACAAATTTTTACTCATAGTAAAACGTTTTTTAATTAGGTTGGCACCTCCTGTAAGTGTTAAAGTAACTGGCATCACTTTTTCCAAGTGGTTTTTGTGACTAAATAATAAATTTTAGTTATCCTGATAAGGTGATATATTCCCTCACAGTACTTACAGAGACATTTCTTATAGACAACAGGTAACTCCAATGGCGATTATGAAATTCCCCAAACATTACGTCCCAACCCTCGTAACTTTCGTCCTCTAAACATGGTGAAAATGATACCTAAGCGAACTTGTTTTTCATCATGGACATATTTAGTGAAAAGGAAAGTTCTATTGATTTTAACCGAAAATTTATGGCATACAAAAGTTTCACACAGGCTCGTGAATAATAATGTAAAAACATAGACAGACGGCAGTGTTGATCCGGATCATCTCGTTAATTTGGAATTATCTCGGGAATTAACTGCAGTTGATCTGGGCAGAAAATGGCCAACTTTTGTGTATTGCTCAAGTAAGAAAACAAAGCAGGAAGGTTTGGCATCAGCGCATAGTGCCGCTCAATAAAAATATTAAAAATAAAATGTTAATAAGCCACAATAACATTGACAAATAAATAGAAGGTTTATTTTTCTTTAAAAAGTTGCCACCTGTTAAAAAATTAGATTGTTAAAAAATTAGATTAAAATTTTTGTATAACTTAAATGAATTATTAAGAGATGGGTATCAATCGAAATGTGTATTAACTACATGCGGAGAGTTGCCACCTGTTTAAAAAATCAAATTCCACTTGAAGTAAAGAAATTAGGTAATTAAAATAATAGCATCACCATAAGGCAGTCATACGAAAGAGGTTTAAGAAGGATTTAGCTTAAAAATGTTACGAATAGGGTTGCCACCTGTTTGTAAAGTCGAATATAGTTAAACTAAAATAATAATTACGTTAAGCCGTAGGATTACGCCATCGTATTTGTCATTTTATTACAAATACATACATTGTAAATTAGCGATTTGTTCTGATTACATTCCTTTTAAATTATTGGACTCTTAAATTAACTCGGGATGTTTTTACTCTTCACTTATTTCTTTCTAAATATGTCAAATTTTTTAATTTTTCTGATACTCATATTGATATACATATTTCAGTTACCTTATTCCCTTAATTAAAGTGAATTTGATTTTTTAAACATGTGGTAACCCTTCTACGTGTCGTTTAGAAGTAAAGTATTTTCAAACCAAGTTCAATTGATACCCATACTGTAATATCTAATTCATTTGACTCATTAAATAATTTTAATAAAATTTGTAGTAGGTGGCACCCCTATTCAAAAATAAAAAAAACTTTATTGCACATCTACAGGCCAAGCCCTGTCATTTGACACCTCACTTTTGAAAATAGAACGAACTATATGTACATATGTAGTACCTATGTAAAAGCCACAAGAACCCAAATTTTCAACTTCAAACTGCATTTACAGTGAAAGTATGAAAGTTATCCAAAAACATTTGCATTGCATTTTTTAATTAAGCGTCCTCAATTTTACTAAGAAGCGAATTTTCATTTAAATCCGTCCATAATTCTATTTTTGCTCACATTTTGTATGGAAGGGAAGCACTGTGCAGCGGTAGTCGAGTGGTGAGAGCTGAGTACTACCATTCCGAAGCATCGATCCTCAGTTCCAGCGATCGCTAAATTTTTTTATGTTTTCTTTGTTTTTATTTTTATATTTTTTATTCTTTCTTTATTTGATTTATATATTTTATTTTACTTAATTTTATTTTATTTCGCATTACTTATTTTATTATTGGTTTATTTAAATTTTTAAGACTAATTTTATCACAAAAGTCAACAACAACTAACTAAAACAAAACTAAACAATTTTTAAGTTATAATTAAATGAATAAAAAAAAAAATAAATGAAACTCTACTGGCAGTGGAACTCGATCCCACGACCTCGCGACTCGTTAATCTGCATTACTTCCTTCTGTCAAGGCACAATTTTGATCACATCAACTACGCCGTTAATCCGGATCAACGTTTCCGTCTGTCTACGCTTTAACTTGTAAATGACAAACTACTAATCATCTAAAATTCATACCAACGACGTGAAAGCTATTCTAATCTAAATGATATTTTCGCTTGGAACTTTCAATGATATCTCTGAATGAGTTATAGTGATTTTAAATGAAATTTAATATGAAACTTTGGAAAAGGATTGTAGACTAAAGCAGTTTTATAAAAATGCAAATTTTCTACGCAGGACTCGTATATTGAATGCTCTGAGCAAACCTTAGTAACGTGGGTCGAACAATAAATAAATGTAGCCAAACTTGGCTAGTTTTATTTTATGTATCACGTCGCCCAACACACAAGTGACGAAGAAGGAAGGTTAGAGAGGTGATTTCCGTTGGTAATTTGAGCAATATTATCAATTATGTAAAAAGTCTTGGCTTAATCAATCCTTTTCACTTAGAATTTTTTAAAACCTAAACAGAAGTGGTAAAAGCCGCTCCACTAGCAGATTACTAAAATCGGCACTTTTGCAATGGGATTTATTCGAGAACAAAAATTAATGAAAAGGCCTTTGAATAATAATAAGTGTAATTATTTTGTATGATTTAAGGCACCTATCTCCAGGGTGTCTTTATTTGTTATTTTGAGAGGCTGGCTCACCAGTAATATAAAACCTGGTTATACCTTACTACAAAACCTTATACAACTTATTCATATCATGAAAGTAAATATGTACTCTCTACCCAGCAAACACAGTTAGTCTAACGTTAGAGAAATTTGGATTTCTGCATTAGATAACTAGGGTAATTCTCTAATCGTTGTCGAGTCGATGACGAAGTTAGAGAATTACATTTGAATTCGATTCGAGAACGATAAGAGAAACAACGCAAATTCAAATAAATGTAAATAACCAATATTCCAATTAAAAATTATTTTTAAGTTCAAATAATCCATTATTATTTTATTGCGAATATATTTAATACAAATTTTGCAAACAATGCGTTTTATTAAATAAAGCAAAACAGCAGTTTGAAATTCACATTCGAATCCCATTAGAGATCAACATTAGAATTCGATTAGAGAATTAATATTTTCTCGAGTCGAGAACTATGTCCCATTTTTGTTGAGATCGCTATGCTTCTCGGTAGTTTTTCCAGTCGATCTCTAACGTTTGAGATTGGAGAATGTGGCTAGTTCTCCAATCATTCTCTAATCGATAACTAACCTCAATGTTTGCTGGGTAATGGTTGAAATTCAAACAAATACTTTTAATGTTCAGCATAATGTTAAGTCGGCTTACAGTTAATAGTAGTAGCCTATCTTAAATTTATTTTAATTCTAATTCTCATAAATGTTTTCTTATAATTTTCGAAATGTAAGAAGATCCCTATCCAACCTACAAAAGGTGTATACTTTCTCTATGTAAATACATATATTTATCGTGTTCGCTTCTTTCCACCTGTCTATTTGCAAATTTGTTTTAAATCAAGTTCGTATGCATGTATTATTATTTTTTCTGATATTAGCCGACAGAATCAATACTTACAAAACAACAGCGCTGCATGTTCGGGCGGCACTGCACTTCTACTTAGTGGCCACCTCCAACCAGGTTGTGACATTTTATTCAAAAACCAGACTAACTCCTCTTCCGGTGCTGCAAATGTTTTATTGTTGTGCTTGCAATACAACCTTTTGAAGAATAAAGAGAGAAATTTAAATTGTACTCATGTAGATACTGAAGGTTTTTGTCGAATATGCATGGATTTAAAACCAAACTTACCAAGTTGGATGAATCCTCCAACGTTTGCCACCAAAGTAGTTTAACAAGTTATCACCTTTAATATTCATGCGGTGTATCTCATTTTCGGCGCGTATGGACAGACGATGTACACCATACTGCTCAGGATATGTGATAACAAGCGTAAATGGTGTATTTGGTATCGCTCTCCAATAATATTGCCGTTTAATACGAGCGACACGTTTCTAAGATGAAAAATATTTCAATTAGCGGATTTCACAAAAAAAAAAAACAAAAAATAGTCTTTCTTACCATTTCGTCGAAATGATTTTTTACTAGCATCCATTTACTACCTGTTGATTGATTTATTATCGAGTCTCGAATCTGGCAATAATTCACAATTAAATACTGATTTATTCTATGTTTCTTGTGAATTATATTAATATATATAGATTATGTACCGTTAGTAGTACTGGATTGAAATCTCTTGGTGCTCGATCATCGTCCAATAATTCGACTTCAATCATATCCACGCTGTTGTAAGCGGGCTTTAAGATATTGCCTTGGAACTGTATGGACATTTATGTAAAATAATTCGCTTAGTAACAGTATGAACTAGTAGGTGTAATTGTGAAACACTTACAATTGGACGAAAATCTGGATGGAACAATATGTAACCGTTATTCGTTACAATAAATGCATAGCCGTTGACACCAAGCTGAAAATTATGCAAACATTATTAATTTTATAAAAAGTGATTAGTAATAATTATTATTTAAAGAATTTATTCCTCTACAATAAGGCATTTTTATCTTTTTGCTTCATGCAGTTGATTTGGCGCAGTCAGAGTTCTTGGCGTTGAGTTGAACAAAATTTGTTAGTTTACCATTAATTAAAAAAATCGAAAAAAATAGATCCCATTGATATCCCATTATCGGACTAGGCCTTAAAGTGGCGGAATGAGTGACAGTTTTTTAGAACAAATTTCATTTTATATTAAAAATTTTAAAGTTTCTTAGAAGTACGGCTTTGAAAATTTTTTCGATTTTAAATGTCAAAAGTGTTTTGAAAACTAAAAATTTCACGAAAAAAATGTTCACAATCGGCTCTTTTCGCAAAGTTCTGGGCGTTTAAAAAAGGTTAGTTTCCGAAATATCGAAAACGGCTGAAAAAATTAAAAAATTCAGGAAGTCTATATTTGATCCAAAATCCAAATGGTTTATGAATTGGACTAAAATGCTCCATATGTAGATAATTTTTAACCCTCTCATGCCCAAATTAAATTGAGCTAAAACTTTTTTCATGATATATTGGGGCGTGTTATGAAATTTTCCCATTTAAAATTTTCGATTAGCACGAAGACAAGAACATGTCTCATTATTGTTGGTTGAGCCTTATATATGAACTGGCATACATTTCAAACTTCTATGATTTCGGGTTTAACCAGTATGAAATGTTGTTTACAAAGTTTTTTTTAACAAAAACTAAAAACAATTTTTCAGACTTACAGGCTAACCTAATATTCGCGCCTTGCGTTTTGGTACGCACGCCGTCGAATTTGTTTTTTTGCGTCAGCCGAAATTGGCTTGCGTGCGTTTGCATTTGATTTCATTGAGCGAAACGTCAAATCAAAATGTCACGCAGAACAAAAATTGGAAATTGAGTTAGCTTCATACGAACGCCGTTCAATTTCGGTTGGTCCCATACAAGTTGTATGTGCATGAGAAATTTTTGACAGTAAATTGGCGGCGTGCGTGAATATTAGGTTAGCCTGTTATAGCCGGTTCCGCCAGCAATTTGAATGGAAAGTGAATTACTTTCTGTCAATTTCCATATAAAATTAAAAAAATTAAACTAATTTTTGACTTAAATTGCTTTTGTGAAATTTGTTGTTAATGTTTTCATTTCACTTTCTTTAATAAATATTTATTGTTAAAAATAAATAAAATTTATTATGTGCATTTTTTTTCAAATGTTGCAGAACCGCTCTTAGCAACATTTATGTTGCGCACAGGTGGTCACAACGAAAAGATGCTTAAAATGAACTGATTCTATAATTATGGCAAGAAATTCAGAGTTTTGCATTCACCACATCCTAACGTGTTATTTATTTAAAATAAGCCGTTAGCAAAACAAAAAAATTCCAACAACAAGATTTATAAACCAAAAGAAAAGGGTTCGATTTGTATACTATAAAAGGTCGGTCTGAGTGTAAATATAAATAGATATAAAATACTTACCAAAAATGGCGACAGCATTCTTTTAATATCTCTAATAGGTACATCCGTGCCAGCAACACCCAATAAATTCGCAATTTTTGTCTAAAGATATGGTTTAAATGAAATTATTACACAAATATGTACATTGCAAAAATGTATATAGTTTTCTACTCAAACTATTAATACAGGTACGAGTAGTAGAGGGAATATATTTTTGTATCTACAGTAAGCATTACATAAACTTTAAATCAGTTGTTTGAGCATAAGAATACTCTGACTAGACCCCATTTACTATTTTTCTTTTTAATACATATACAAAATACATATTTTAGTTAATAAGTACTTAAATATGTATGTACATATACGTATCTAAATACATAATAACACAATTTAAATGTCACTAATGAATCAGTTTCTATTAACTGATCTAATAATATTTTATGAATTCGCTATAAAAATTTGAAATTATACATGAGTTTTACTAACTAATCAGACCGTACTTACTAAGAAACGGGCCCAATAAATTTTTAGGTAAAATGTAATGTAAATTGCGGGATTAGGTTTCTTGGCAGTGGCTACTACATACTTTACTTACTATAAAAGGCAAATATATTGCTTGATAAAACTACATACATACATACAGTTTATTGCGAATCGATTACATATGGGCGTTTCCATCGGAAGGACTACCGCGAAAAAAAATAATATTCATATATCTAACGTATTTATGGGTTAATTTGTCTGTTTACTATACTGCTTATGTAGGCAGAAACATTTTTGCAAAAAATGATCTCACATGGTGTCGCCAGGGTCGAGGTATTTTGAAAGACCGTATTTATAGTCCGATTTGGTTCAAATTTGGCGTATGTATTAAACATAACAACTCATAGATTTCCAAAAAATGTACCTTGAAATGTTATGTTATGTTAGTTAATGTAATGATGAGCTGAAATTGCTTCAACTAATTGTTTTTACAAATGTCGCGTGGTAGATGTCGCGTGCTAAAATCGTCCTTAAGCTAAACAAAAACTATCATCAGAAAGGCCAATTCATTCATTTTAGTTTAAAATAAACTAATTTAAATTTTTATGTTGCGTTTTGCAGATTTTTGCATATTTCACGCTTTTTGTCAATATATTGAAAACAAAAAATTTACAGAACCTAAATATTGTACAAAACATATTGCTTCTAAAATGCTATCGAAACATAAAAAAAATCAACATATAATTGGAGGTTTTGACCATGGAAATGCCCATATCACATAATTTACTGGCACAAAATAGTATATATATTTTTGATACTTTTTATATGTATTTACATATACATATATATTCATAAAAATATAAGGTACTAGTATGCTAATAGCCTTCTACTATCTATAACTTAGACATGATAATTCTAATATTTAAATACGTCGTTAAAAGCAAACTGTTATGCTTTTTTTTCAAAAAATGTTGATAAGTAATTGTTATTTTTTCATTGATATGTTTTCAATCATAAGTTAAGAGTTAAAATTTAACTTTTTTTTGCGTTAAAAAATAAACGTTAATATTTATCTTTACAAGCTTTTATTAAGTTTCACCTGTGTTTTTTAATAAAATTTTGCAATAAATTTTTAACAACTTCCCGATTAGCTAGAGGCTTGAAACTGCAAACTTGGCATTGAATCCGACGACAATGCAATAAATTAACAATAAATTAATCCGCTAGGTGGCGCAGGTGTAGAGTTATTTGAAAAAACCCGTATTTATAGTCCAATATCGTTCATATTTGAAATGAGAATTACCTAAATGAAATGGAATAACTCCTCAAATTTGCCAGATAGGTGGCGCAGCAGTTGAGGTATTTGGAAAATCCATATTTATTGTCCGATTCATTTCATATTTAGAACCTACAATACTTAAATACTAAAAAATAATTCACAACAAGTAAAGAAGTCTAAGTTCAGGCGAAGCGGAACACTAAATACCTGGCACACGTTGTAAATAGATAAAGTTTTTCACCTCTCCGAAAACTACCGTTACGTGATAAGTAGGGACGGTTTTACCACTATTTCTAACTTCTTCGATAGTATGTTCAGTTAGACTTAATGAGAAAACTTGTGTAGTCATAAATTAGCGGTGCCAAGGCCATTTTCCATAATAATCTTATTTCTTTTTAATACTAGGTTCACATATAAGTAGATTATCCTCATTTTCGAGCTTAACACCCTAATCTGTAATTATAACAAGAGATTAGCCATATAAAATTCGTCCCTTGTTAATCTGTAATTATAAAATAATCTCAGATTTAACCGATAACTTTTCGGTGTCCATCCTAGTTTTATCGATTGTTTTTGCGAAAGAGAAGAGAAATGCCAAATGTAAAAGTAAACAAAAATGTACGCTGGCAAGTAAAAGAGGTTTGTAAAGGCATTTTTAATAAAATGTTAAGTTAAAATATATTTATATTGCTTATTATAGCAGAAAAACGTGATCACGTTGGCACAGAGAATAAACATAACTTTTCCTTGAGATGTGACAATAACAAGCACAACAAATTTGACGGCTAATAATCTGAGATTTGCCTGTGTAAACGGGGTGATTAAAAAACGAGCTTTGATTGAGATAATATTGATATGTGAACATAGTTTAAGAGATTGTTGTGAGTATTAGGCTTGGGTAAATTAGCGTCCTTAAATTTTGAAACATCGAAGTGATGACGATATGACTAATCAAATAGGTAACTTCGTAAATTCCCCAATTAAAACCAAAAAATAAAACTGCTAATATGAAGTTTTTGAATTCAACTTCGGCTCTACATAAAAAAAGATTAAATCATGCATATAGTTTAGAAAAATTTTTTAGCACAATAAATACTTAAATATACAGGATTTAAAATCTATTCTATGATTACGAGTATTATGTAGAAGAAAAACTTGAATATTTAAAACTGTATTACTATAAATATTTCTGATCTCTATTGTATCCATGAACTTGCATTTTGCAAATTAAATATACTATTTATGTTTGTATGTATTTACGCTCCTTCTAGTAAACTTCCACACATAGTATGTAGTATATATGCTATGCACGATTTTATATAGTATGCACTTCTGTATCCAACTGATTTGTACTACTTTTAAATCTATCTAATAGATGATTCCCGCAAACTCGAAAAACTAGAAAACCCGCAGCTCTAAAACATGTCTCAACGAAATCTCGACAGTCAAGTTTTCATGGCTTTTTCCAGTGTAAGGGAATACCTCTTATTTATGTTGTTCTAAACATTATTTTTACCAAAATTCTTTACTAGCTATGAGTATATAAATTGTTAAGCAATTTTTAGTTTGTTTACTCAAATGTATGTATGACGCAACAACATTAAATTTACGCTAAGGAACTTAGCAACGTTCTTATTTTACTACGCGTTTTCACTGTTTTGTTTTTTACTCAAAATGTCTCTAGATACCTCACGAGTTTGTAATTCCCAAAGCGCCTCATTTATTAAAACCTCTTCGGTGATATTCTGTTTGTGTAATATTTGATTGGTTTGTTTATTAGTATATACAATAAATAAAAGATATTTATGTACATTTGATAGTACATAGAAATATTTTGATAGTATGTCATATTTTTTTTATGTGCAAGTATTTATTAAGAAATCATGATTGACTTCACTATACAAATTAGGAAGAAATTTCTTGGTGATTTTGATTACACCGTGCGACAGTAAATTTTACACACAAAACCATGGGCCAAATATAGTAAAACTGCTTCTTTAATTTTTCTCTCTGAATTTTTTTTAAGAACCTTGAAATTTGATAAATTTAATAGATAACATCAAAAAGTTATTTGAAATTCGAATTATTTGAAAAAATTTGAAATTTGATAAATATGATAACTTCAACAAATTATTTAAAAAATTCTGTGCGGTGTGGGTATAAAAAAATTAAAGAGAAAATTCTGCAGAATTAAAACCGATTAAACTTTTTTTTCACTAGGGCGATTAGGTATTGAACATGTTCTTTAAAATTTTATCCTTGAATATCCATGGAATTTAGCTAAATGTACTTTTGAAAAAATTATATGTTAACGATTAATATACAATCTACCACATTCTCGATTTTAGTACTTACTTTATCACCTTAAAAAATTAAATTACTAAAAGGGCATTTTCAATACCTATTCGCCCTTGTGAACAAAAATTATTATATTGGTACCCATATTGTTATTCTAACATTTTTTAACAATTTTTGGAATTAATCATATATTGGAAATATGTCCTTAAAAAAAATCCCGATGGCAGAGAGAAAAAGTAATAACTCAGTTTTACTATATTTGGCCCACAGTTTCGTGAGTAATTGATTGCTTCGTAGGTTTCGAAATTTTTGTTTTTGTCGCACGGTGTTATTTATGCATTTCTACTGTATGTTGAATAACTTACCGCATTTATACGTCGATCATAAACAGGCATAGAGACAGTAGTCATAAACTGATATACGTCCGATTCGAGTGGTTGATTCCAGGCCTTCATTTGGAGTAATTTATAAAAAAAATTTAGTACATAAATTAAGATCGAAAAAAAACTTTAGTCGACGTGGATTATGCTGACATGATATTATGATATGTTTCAATACACTAAAAATAATCTTTGTATTTTAAAATTTATGATTTTACCACATCTAAATATAACACATCGGCCAACGGATATAAAACTCTGTCCACAAAATTTCAATTTTTTTTTTTTTTTTACAAAAAACGTGGTTTGGATTATATTGCAAAGGTAGTCAACCTATTTTCACACCGTTGCCGTAGAGATGGGCTCTGACCGGGGTTTTAGACGGAAAGTGGATTTTTCAAACAGATTTTGGTGAAATTTCTTACTGTTTACCATAGAGGAGTTTAAGTTTGAATAAATCGTATATTTTATTCAAAAAACCCTTTTTATTTTTCTACACAGTCTCCTTTTAGCTTAAAACATTTAGTTAACCGTTTTCCCTCATTTCTTTATCTGTTTAGTGATGACCGTTTTTCATTTCAAAATCTCTTGATGCCGAGCGATCTCTTCAGAGCATATAGTCGGAGCTGACTAAATCAGGCAAAAATGGTAGATGGCATAGCATTTCGTTGCCCAGTTACGGAGTTTTGTCGCTGTAAGTGTTAAACACAAACGACCCAGCAAAAAACACGATTACCACAGAAACGAAAGTGGAAACGAGCTAGGCGATGGGAATCGCTTACCCTTTCGCTTCAAGAAGGCCTTATTTTAACATGGGCATGTCATTGGAGGTAAGCCCTTACCCGCAGCATTACCTTCAAACGAAGGGAGAACGCATGGATAAACAGAATCCAGAGAAGCGAACAAAGAATGCCTTACAGAGAAACTAATGTAGAATGCCTAGATAAGTACATACTTATTTATATTAAATTGAAATCAGAAAATGTCTTAAAAGATTAAAATTAATTAAAATTTTTATAAATCAGCTTTTATACATACATATGTATTTATTTAGGTACTTAGATTTTCTTAAAAATCGGTATGTACATACATGCATATTTAACTAAGCTTAAAATTGTACTTCCTCACTCTTGTACTTCACTTCATTGACTGACTTCAACTTCGCTGCAAATTGAACAAAGCAAAACATGATTTTTATGCGACACAAATTTCCACAGAAAGTAGCGGTAGAAAAAGAATTTTTGGGTATTCATTCTATTTTTCAACTGACTACGATGCAGCATTCTACTTTGCATTCTCCGAAATGAAGCAAAGAAGCGAAATAAAAAAAATATTATAGGACATTCTACTTTGCATTCCCTGAAATGAAGCAAAGAAGCGAGACAAATAAAATATTGTAGGACATTCTACTTTGCATTTCCGGAGATGAAGCAAAGAAACGAATTAAAAAAGAAATATTATAGGACATTCTACTTTGCATTCCCCGAAATCAAACAAAGAAGCGAAATAAATAAAATATTGTTGGACATTCTACTTTGCATTACCGGCAATGCCTAAAAGAAGCGGAAAAATTCGAAGGCATTATAACGCTATGCCTTCTAGAACACGTTACCACTAAAAGCGATTACCGATTTTTTGCTGGGGAATGACACAGCTTGCTAAAAATGGTACATCAATCGGGAGTAGTGGTGCATAAAACGCTACTCCGCTACCCTGGTACTTATAAAATATGCACCTAAAGTAATGGTTGCTTTCAAGTTGAGAAGCCTTACCTCAGTTTTTGACGAAGATTAGGGTAATCCAGAACATTAAGGATAGTTTTTTGCGAAATTCGATACGTGGTATGCATTTGAATTGCTAAGCTTTTGCCAAAATGACATCACAAAGGCGATTAGCAATGTTCGTTTCGACAAAGTTTTCATAAAAATCTTTCTTGCTTTTTTCTTCATTTATTTACTTCTGAATCGTTGAGCTGGACCGCAGTTCTGGTCCGTTTTAGCAAACCAATCCAAAGATGCAAACACGTTTCGAACCGCTGAACCGATCTGACCAAATTTTTCATCCGGTTCACGTCCCTGATATTTATCGAAACATTTGTTTTTATCTAAGTTCTTCTTAGGACTTATTTATTGACCCTCGTATGTATGCGAAATTTTCTTAAAAACTTGAGTATGATTTTAATGCATAGAAATTCTATAGGAAATTTTTGAATATCTGAATAATCCGAATATTTGAATATCTGATCGGAAAATCCGAATATCGGTATAACGAAATAAACGGAGGGTCGAATTCTATCGATGTACACGAGTATCCGAACGGATTTCCGAATATACAGCACTACCTGTACTGTTTTGACTTTGGTGCTCTTCTAAATATCGTAAAAAATATATACAGTGGTTGTCCAGTATAACGAATGCCTATATAACGAATGCTCCAAATAGCGAATACTTTTTTAAATGTATTGATTACTCTAAATAACGAACGGTTGAAAAAAGGAGTATTCTATATAACGAACGCTTGTTTACTTTATATGTTTGAATGACATGATTTTTGCGTACGTGAAATTACCAGTTCAAAAGAATAACTTCTTACAAGTGGTCGCGTTTATTGAACTGGAAAAATACCTCCGTCGCGTAACCGTTTGTTATTTATTAGGTGAAACAATTAAAAAAAAAAACACAGTGAAATAGGAATATGGGGCTCATATGTAATATATATATATATATATATTGATTTTCATAACAAAATTTTAGTTCGATTTAACGTACTTTTCGATATAGCGTATGAACCCAGACATTATATCATTCGTCATACTGGACGACCACTGTATTTTAAAATCTGATAAAAATATTATATCCGGATAATAAAATAAACAGATGTTAACCGGCTATCCAGAGAGCAAAATTAACGGGTTTTAACCGGATATCCGGATTTGATCCGTGTACACGAATATCTGAACCGATATCCAAATACGCGGGTAGTCCCATCCCTCCCTACTTGACTGTTGAGTTTTTTCTAAATTTCATTGAAAAAAATGGCTAAAACTCAAATTAATATACATAATTGATATCCCATTTTTTTACTAAATTAATTTAAAGGCGTCAAACGGACCCCTAACTACTAACTAAACTAATTTTTTCGTATACATGTAAATATTTTTATACCGCTTTATTGCGATGATAGATCCGTCTATGTACTTCGTTAGGTTCCAGCATGCGATAACCCTCTCGCCGAAATTCCAAAACATCTTCGCGTTGATCATCGCACTGCTTCATTTCCCACAGCCAATCGGATAGTTTTGGGTCCTTAAATAATAAAATTAAATAAATTTTAAGAAAATCCTTCAACACTCACATTGGATTTCACATATTTTTCTTTGACTGCACTTACAATAACATCAGCATACACCTGCGTCCACACAACAGGGTGATCATGTTTACCTAGAACCAGAGGTCTCGCCATTACCGGTATGTAATTGAGTACCATTTCACGGACTTCGGCCATATCACTCAAATGAACATAATAGCCTTGATTGGCACAAGCCATCCATTTGATATCCTTAACATCGGCTACTTCCTTGCCAATTAGATAGGTAAAAACACGTACGGGTTTAAATGGTAGATCACGCCAATTGAATTGTTCGAATACATCCTCATAGGTAAATGGAGCGCCATCACTAACAATCATAATGGCTTGATTGCATTGCGCGCCGCGATTTTCCGTACGAAATTGTTCCAAAACTTCAAAAGCTTTCGTCAATGCAGCAGTGAAGTTGGCAATGTTGGCAATTTTTACTGAGTCAACACCTTCCATGAGCTCCCGAATATTGCCAAGATTCGCCTTATGAATGGGGAATGGGAGGAAATGTTATTGTGTAATAATGGATGTGAGTATGAAGTGCAGTAAAAAGCATTAAAAAAAAATATGTAGTAACAGAAGGTTACCATCGTACATAAATATATAATTATCAAATACTATTAAATATATATAGTAATGCACGATGGTGGGTTATTAAGAATAATAAGACGAAAACTAAAAAATAACAAATAAAAATAAAAAAGTAATGACCAAACTTAAAAGAATATCTCATTGAAACAATTATAATAGAAGCTGTACTTTCATAAAATAATAGCAAAATGATTTTTTATTTTTGCCTAAATAGTAGTGGAGCTTCGCCTCTAATTCCCGATATGCGTCTTAATATTGGCATATAATGGAGGAACCTAGGCCGTCTTCTTACGAGCGATTAGGTTTTTATAAAAAATCCCTTTCCAAAAGAAATTCATTCCTACATATAATATGCTGAGCGGCATCATTTCGCGACAAGTTAAAAAAAAAAAAAACAATTTTTCGATCCAAGCAAACCAAAGTAAAATTTTGGCCCCAACGATTAATAGTACAGACCTCCAACCACTCGGCTTTAAACTTACGATTGATGGTGAACGTTAACCGACCAGAATTAAATTACATACAGTGGGGAGCAAACATGAGTACATGCAGATTTTTGTTGAATATTTGCAAGGGTTTTAAAGTAAATTTTTTTTTTGTAATTTTTTTTTATAAATATATGGTTTATGCTTTAACCAAAATCATATAAGTCAAACTTTATACAGAGCTTAGAAAAATCTAACAAATTTTAATTAAAATTTAAATTTCAACTAATATTTTTTTGGTATGCAGTTTTGTAGACCGAGCAACTAGCGCAAATTCGCATAGAAGAGAGGCAATTGGAGAAGCTATTTGGTCTCGGCCCAAACCGACAAACGGTTGTAGTGCCAAATAGGAATAAGAAGATATGAAATGAATCTAAAAGAGGCAAATATTGCTTACATTTTTGGCGAGTTTCTTCTTTCGAAAACAAATCTGTCTAAGATTGAAAAGCAATTGAATTGTTAATATTAAAGAGCATAAAAGTTATTTGTGATAGAGACAATGGGATAGTTTAGAACAATATTTATTCAAATTATGGGAAACACCTTTATTCTAGTACCATATATGTAAGGGGTGTACGGTCTTGTGGCCTGTAAAGTATTAACTTCAGGTTCATGTTTTGTGTCTTCAGCTTTTCTCAATTTCACGCCAACAAAGAGGTAGCGACCTTAATAATTCCAATACTTAGAAATGATTGTAAAAGCTTTGGCTCGTGGAGTTCTGTTGCAGGTCAAACCTCAGTAGAGAAATGGGTTGTATGTAGTCTGAGTGCCTTTTTTCTGCATGTGTTAGCACCAACAAAAAAGATCACATACATAATTAACAAGTCAAAAACTAAACGAAAAACTAAAATGTCCAGCAAACAGCAAATTAAAAAAAAAAAAATTAATTGTACAGAAAGTGACTTAAAGCAATTAATAATAAAAAACTTTATATACTTGAACTAGTGTATCCTCAAAACATTTGACGGCCGGCTCTACTGTTTTTCCAAAGGTGAAGATGTTCACAAAGTCATTGGTACCCAACGTATCAAGTATTGTATTTACAACCTTCTTTGCGATATCTAGCCTCTGTCCCTTCATAGAGCCAGAACTGTCCAATAGTATGATGATGTCCTTGGGACTTGTCGCTGCCTCCATATACCATGAACGCAGTCGGCAATCATACAAGTCGACTGGTTTGGCTTTCCACTTGGCCGCCGGGAATTGGCGCATGAAACCGGTCGAGCTGCCATAGAATTGCCACGACAATGTTGGATCGTTTTTGTAATTATCACGAAATATTTGATCTAAATTCTCCGACCACTGAATGGATTTGATGACATCCTTGGCTATCGCAGCCAAAATGAATGTGTATGCGTGAGTGATTTTTTGTATAAAAATTATAACATTTTTCATGATGTTTATTTTTTATTTTTTGCATTGTTCATGGCAATGATAAGCATTTGTGTGTTCGTTAAGGTATTGTGTTGTAGGGAGAAAAATTTTGGTTCTTATTAGATTTGATTTTTCGTTTTGTAAGAATTACTTATACTAGGTGCTAAAAATTTGAAAAATACATTTAAATGAAAAAGTTTAGCTGAAATGATTGTCTCGAGTGTGTCAAGCATTCCACGGGTTGAGTCATTTGGCGGTTAGTTTTAAATGGAGATATTTAGTCGTTTTATGCGGTCCTTTTATTAGCACAAATACAGTAGAACCTCGCAACTCCGAATCAATTAGAATCAGCTCAATCCGGTCTACCAAAGGCGTTAAAATTTTTGAGGAAAAACACCTATAATTGTTTGTTCATTTATTATGACAAAAAAAAACTATTACAATGACTTCAATAGAAACTACTTTTAACGTTTTAAAGTAATGGAATATTAACTCAAAATTTATTTAAAAAAGTGGAATACTTTTGTTTTCCGGATACAGTTTTGCGCGATCCGAATTAGCGAGACCGTGGTCGGTCCGGATTACAAGATAAATATTAGATTTTATTTTTATTATTTAAGTCTGTCTGGATTACAGAAGAATTCGGATTAGCCTACACCCGGATTAAGGCAGGTCTACTGTAGTGCCCCCTTAAGTGTTTTGCTGGCTAAAGAGTTTGCCTGACTTGACCCAATCAATAAGCCCAGTCATGTTTGCTATCAGAATGAAGAGTTCTCGCTTTGCTTACCTAACAAGCCGCCTAGCCGTTTTGTATGCCCTGCAGTTTACTGTAATTCCATATCTATAAGTTATTCAGAAGCGACCTCTCATTCTCTGGAATGCATTTTTAAAGAAAGCTTGCTCTGCTTTAACTCTGCATGGCTCTGCTTAATTTTTGTACGCTAAGGTACTTCTTCCTCAGTCTTTTTAATACACCATCGGCCTCAACAATAGCAATGTTTGTTCTGCCTTCTCGCAGTTGGATAAGGAAGCAAAACGAATGGAGGACAAGACGAACTATCTCCTGTCAACAAGCAAACAGTTAACAGGGACAATGAAGCCCCGTCACCAGGTCACTTTTGGAAATCATAATTTCGAAAACCCAGAGCGCTTCGTCCATTTGAGAACCTGCATAAACACTGAAAATAATCACACTACTAGTCACTCCCCAAGTTCGTGGTGCTACATAGTACATATATACATAGCTCAAAAGCTTACACAATGGCCACATCCTATGAGACGGCCCTTGGGGTGAGCTGTGTGAACTTTACAATGCCATAGAATTAGTGTAGCGGATTAAAATACAAAGGCCCGTTGGCTCGGTCATCTCGTAGAAATGGGCACAAATGCTTCAACCGTGAAAGCATACAACGCGGATTCCGCGTGAAGAAGCACTTGGCGTTTTCAACTGACGTCATTTAGCGTATTTAGCAGAAAAATGACGCGATGTTTTCAAGGACTTAGCCAAAATCGCTTAAGTGATTACAGCGCCGAACATGAGGCAGAACTTCGGGTATGGATAGTTCGGTTTCGCCCTTTCTTTCAGTTTCTTTACTTGTTATACGTATGCAAAATTCTTGGTCCGAAGTATAATCATAAACCGTCATAGCTCCTGAACGCATAAACAGACTTTGTCGAATTGGCAAACACTCGAATTTTGCGTATAAATAAAATAAAACTGGATAGTGCTGGTTACACTGGATCACAAATTTGTGTATTTTTTGTACCGCAGATGCCCCTATCCAATTCCTTTGTAGAACCGCCCGCTGATTCCGAAAATCGAGTTAATATTTTTCCATAGATAGGAAAGTGGTTCGTTTTAATTGCGTATATCTTTCGAACAAATTTAAGAATTTTAATTCGAAATACAGCTAATAAAGGCTAACAAAATTCTCCATTTTATGTGTGTTAAAGCCTGTTCTGTTACGCAAAAATCGAGGTACTTATAAAGAAAATCGATGGATAAGTAAAAAAGGAATTAGAGGTCAAAAGAAAATGCGCAAAGATTTCTTATATGAAAAATTAGCTGAATAGTATGTTACTCATACGCCATGCCTGCTCTTTTTTCCCACAAAAAATCGTTGCACGTTTTAATTCGACCACTTATTTTTTTGTATTTATCCGTCGATTTTCTTCGTTGGTTGGTTGTATAAATGTTTAGAGTTTGATTTTTTCAAAAAAATAAGTAATTTTTTTAAAATTTGTGGAGTTAAAATTTTGACATCAATTTGAGCGGGCTTTAAATTCATCCCCTGGGGTCCCCCCATGTTTTCTAGAGAAATCTGCTTAGAATTTCTAGAGAAACCTTATTAGAATTTTCCGAAGATTACGTTTTTGCTATACTCATTCTCATGGTTTCTTACCCGAACAATATGCCCACCTAATGTACATTCATACGTGCATATGTAGGTTTATTCAATAACATTTTAAGAATGAAAGAATTTACGCTAAATGACCCAGCCAGTAGAATATGAATGTGTCGTCGTTATGAAAAATTCTAAATTTAATAGGAGAGGCATAGCACTTTTAGAATTCATAAGAAAATGATTTTAAGGTTGTTCTAATGGTCCAATGAAACACGATTTGTTTTTTTTTTATTATGGTATAGAGCTAAGTCAAAGAGCATAAAATATATACAATGATAGTCGAATTATTAGAACAAGCCTACAAATGTTGCAAGTGTTTCCTTAATTTAATTTTAAAAAATTTTCGTTTTTATTTAAATTAACAAGTCCAAATTTCCAGTATTCAATCAATATAATATTTCATGAACAATGGTCAAAAAGTCGGTCCTTCGGTACGAGCAGGCTTGAAAGTGATATTAACTTTGGCCAGAATCATTTGCGCAGTCATTTTGGTGCATTCAAAAGCATTTCAAGCATACATGAAAACATATACATATGTAAGTTAGGCGTTAAGGTACAGCGTGGGCACGAAAAGTGTCTGCGCAAGATATCCTGACGAAATTTATTGCAACTCCAAGTGGGCTTTCTCAAATACAATACATACACTACAGCAAGCGTTGTATTTAAAAAAGCAAGAAAATGCACCGATGAAATGCATGTACATAAATATCTACGTACGTATGTATGTATGTATGTATGTTTGTAGTGTGTACTTGTGTTTTATATAATAAATTAATTAAAATGTATGTGGATGATTGTGCAAAATTTCCAAACTAAAAATATATGAAAAGAAAATCCAACCTCGATCGAAAACATTCAAGGGCACGTGCACTGAACTGACGCTCAGATTGACTGGCGTATTAAAAAATTCAGCTTTCGGTGTTAGAACAATCTCTTTGGGCGGTACAAAAATATGTGGTTCGCCCATATCATCCAGCTCCCGAGGTGCTGGTGTTGGTATAGGATCATCGGGTTCTCTCATATCTTTGGCATTGTAATAGGAAAAAAACTGATCCTCCTTTTCGTTTTGATGTGAGAGCGCGGTATTCTCCGCCGTATCCATAATACGCTGCCATTGTTTTAAGAATATTTTGGTTTTAAGTGAAGACAAATTACGTACATATGTTATTATAAATTAAAAAATTTAAAATGCATACTTGGTATCATCAAATAGTTTATTCCTTACCCGTACTGCGCTTATTTTTAAATCCATCATCATTTTGACATCGTGCGCCATGTTTTCAACAATTTTGGCTCCAGAACGCGACACCACTTGTGCTTCTTTGAAACTCTTTTGTAAAGAAACAGTAAGATAGAAATGTAATATACCAAAAATATAGATTCACGTTAAGGTCAAATAAAATAAAATAAAATTTTAGTTATGAGAATATACGAGGGCAGTTTAAAAAATCGGTGACTTTTCGAATAAAAGATATTTTCTTGGCTCCTGTATGGTCTCCTTTAAGGTTGGCTACTTAACCAGCGTTCTTCCAACATAATACTTGTTTGAGTTTGAGATGAGACCTCTTCATTCGACCAAAATCTTTCACCAACGAGGCTTAGAAACAATAAATCTAAAGAATATGCTGGATGAAGGAGTAATTCGTAAACTAATTCACGTGTGATGGTTGTCTATTTTCAAAGGCTGTCAAAAACAAAGTAAATGTCAAAGCGTTAAAAATTTTGGTGGTAGCTGACAGAAGCAGTGGGATTTTAAATCTATTTCGCAGGAAAATCAAACAATCACTGACTTATAAAATTGCCCCCGTAAAAATTTTTTTTCGTCACTTAACACGACCTATATTGCGGTAATGACAATCACAAACACTTTTAACTATTACACCGAGCGACAGTAAATTTTACACACAAAAAAAAATTATATATTCTCGAAACCTATGGCAAAATATTTTAAAACTGCGTATTTAATTTTTTTCTCTGGCGTCAAGATTTTTTTTCAAAGGACTTTAAAATATCAAAAATATTAAGGGGACAATTCTGTAAAATAAAAAATATATTAAATTTTTTGGTGCATAAGGACGAATGGGTGCGAAAAAGTTCTTTTAAAATTTATTTTTGTAAAAATTAATTGTTAAGGACTAATATACACAGGACCACATCCTCGAATTTCAATCCCCCTAACTCTATTATCTTAAAAAAAAAGTATCTTTAATGTTTTTAAATTCTACCAAATTTTCATCAATCAATTGGCACCCACATTGTCGTTCTACAATATAATTATTTTTTTCATTAACTATATCTTAAAAAATTTCCAAGTCCTTTTAAAAAATTCTGATGTCAGAGAGAACAACTAAAAACGCAGTTTTACTGTATTTGGCCCATAGTTTCGTGAGTATATCGTTTGTTTTGTGCATTTCGATTTTTTTTTTGTTTTTGTTTTTTTCGTACGGTGTTTTAACTGGGCATTACTTTTTTTACCTCGCTTGGGATGTAACTATGTAATATTGATGCCCCTAAAAGATGCAGCGATTTTCTTTATCAAGTTACATACCTGATGACAGTACGAATCGGAATTGCTTTAAATTTTCATTCTTAAAGTAATCTGGTTACAGTACGAATGGAAATTATAAAAGCGAGTTTTTAGTTTTTTAAACTATATTTTTTTATTTTATTCACACATACAAAACTATTTTATATGTTTTCTCGAATGGATAATCCAAAAAAAAATCTGGTCTCAAGACGGTAGGATAGCACACTTTTCTGACTATCGCCAATTTCTTTGCCTTACTGTGGCCGTTTTCTCCAGTAACCTGCAACTTTAAAGCTCACTTTATATTTAAAGATTGCATTAAAATTTATGATTGTCTGTAAGGTAAAGCATTTTGCGACAAAGAAACATACATACGTCAAAAACTTAGAATATAAATGCTTAACTTAAGACATAGCTCTATTTTTAATCCAACCTTTAAATATAAAGTGAGCTTTAAAGTTACAGGCTACTTGAGAAAACGGCTCTAAGTAGCTGAAACATTTTTTTTAATGAAGTAATAATATATGTACATATGTATGTAAAAAATTATCAAAATTATCCCGAAAACTCGCTATGTGGGTGTAATTAGCCTAAAGATTTAACGATAAGTTTAACAGATTTGTACCACTAGACTATACCAACTTTCGAGCAAACAAAAAGGTTTGTTGTACACCCCTGAATATATAAAATTTTTGCAAGGTAGTTTCGAAAAAAAAATTGTTTGACGGAACCTAGCGTCGCACAGTGGCGCAAAAAAGGTTGCAAAAAGGACAAATCAATTTTGAGAGCGCAAATTACACACAGTTTGTACAGGTTTCTTTTTTTTTAAATAAAAGATAATTAAATTTTGCGTCGATCTATCCGTGGCGATTTTTGAAAAAAGCTCCCACTAGAATGTGTGTGTGGTGTGGGAAATTCAGTTTGTATTGGAGCTGCCACGCCCCCTTTTTTAATTACTCCCATTATTTCCATTAGTTGGGCGTTGATATAATGTATCTCTATACTATACGTTGAATACTTTCAGAGGTATGCTGTGTGAAAACTTCAGTTTGTATGGAAGGTGCCACGCCCCCTAGATATATCGAAATTATTTTGCTTCTATAATTATCCTTGGAGGGTCTGGAGTCAACGTCCAAAGTTTCAAAAATATCGGCACATCTGTTCTCGTGTTTTTCGAACAGAAAAAACGGCTTTCAAAATATCTATTGGTATAGATAAGAAATTATATAAGTTTTTTAATTAAATGTATCCTAGTGAAAAATGTTTATGAATATTTTTTTTTTTCATTGCAGGAATATGTAATTTATTTCAAGTATTTTCCAAAAAAGTATAATAAAAGGTAATAATAAAAGGTTTGTTCAAGAAACAGTTTTCTCGCTCCCTCTTGACAAAATCGCCCAGTCGGAAAAGTAGTAATGCATTACAAGCGTGATAAATAATGCTTATGAGTTCTATATCTATATGAGTTCTATTCTATATTACTGCTAACTATGTAATCAGCATTCTAATGTATTCAAAAAGTTACAATATTTCATATTAAAACACATTAATTTCTCGAAACTAGGTAATGCAAAATTGAATGCCCCACTAAGGACATCGCTCTGAGAAAACAAATGCATTTTCGAATGTGAAATGGGTTGTTTTACTGATTATTTTTTCCTGACACTGGGCGGCTCCCTTAGCAAGGCACTGTGTGTGGGTTCGTATGTTTGTGCAAAGCTTTTGTAAGGGAGTTAAGGGAGTTTCAAAATATCACTAACAAACCTTTAATTATTGAATCATGCTCAAATATAACTTTTTTTTCTTTCGCTTTCGGTGAAAATAACTGAGATTTGGCGGGTAAGTACCAGAACATGGAACTTGAGGCCAATGAACTTTTTAACAAAAAAAAATTGTCGCCTCGAGGCAAAAACATCGATATATCATACTTTAAGATCCGACAGTAAAGGCCGAAGATATGACGAAAAAATTAAAGGGCGACCCCTACGTTCGGGAATTTTTTTTCGAAAATTTTTTCTCAAAAAATACTCGAGACTCGAAGGTGTGCGGCGAACGTTTTTTCAAGTACGGTCTAATGACCACGCCACATATGTATGTATATGCATATTATGCATTTTAAAAAATTCATTTATTAAAAAAACCAAATGTCAAACTTTGTGCAACAATTATAAAAATTCTGCATTATTGCATCTAAATTTTCACCTTTTTAAACAGATTTTTTTTGATTTTTTTGAATATGTAGTTTTATAGCCCATTAAAATTTAGTAATAAAGTGCAAGTTTAAATTTCCTAAACAATCGCGTTAATTTTTGATAATTTTTATTCTGAATGTATTACGCACTTTTTCCATGCAAATAAAAATTGTCGAACATACTTTGTATCGAAGAAAATGCGTTAAAAAATTGCCAAAAATCAACGCGATTTTTTGGCAACTTAGAACTTAACTTCATTCTACTAAAATTTAATGGGCTATAAAACTACTACATATTCTTAAAAATCTGATTAAAAAGTTTTAAATTTAGATGCGATTTTGCAGAATTTTTAAAACTTTTTCACAAAGCTTGAAATATGAATTTATATGGGTTTTGTTAGATAATGAACTATCATTTTATAAAAAAAAAAATAATAAATTTTATATAAACGTAGCCAACATTTGATAAAATGTCGTGTCCCTATTTATTTTTCCACCACTGTATGTATGTTTATAAGTGAGACCATTTAATTTTAAAATGTGTACCTTTCCGTTCTTTTCGTCGCTTCATTGCATTCTTGTTGTTTTTAATATAATTTTAAAACTCTATCTGGCATATTCAAAATTTATTATTAACCCGTTACTTATTAAATAACTGGAGGAATGACCTCTTTTTACGCTGCACTTTTGCATTCATGTGCTATAAAGCTCTTTCGGCAAAGAGCTACGATATTATTCTTAAAATTCTTAAAATTTTTGCCATTAGGAAAAAACTCAAAAATTTTGATATATTTGTCTGATAAATCTACAATTCTTTCATGTTTAGATTATCTACAACGGCCCGTAGTTATAGTCAAAATAAAGTCGACTCTAAAGTTAAAAGCAGCTTTTTGACATAACTTTCAATGGGATATCTGTCCACTCATAAAGGAGTTCGCGAGAAATTGTTTGTCATTAAAAACAAATTACGTCAGTTGCCCCATGCAGAGCTAATGCATCGTAAATTCTGATGTGCAATTAACCCATATTGCTCAAAGATAATTTTTGAGAAAAATCAATATTTTACTTGTACTTTGTAGCTAAATGCTTACCTCTTGAACTTCCTTTCGCCTGGTAATGAAGTCACCCAAATGGAACAGCTCCATGCCTAATTTATCAGCCCAGGAATGTACACTATATACAGATGAATTATTATATTCGTTATATTATTATTATTTCATTGGTACAATATCACAAGCTAACGAAGAATTGTAACTCACAGATTGTAATTGATTTTTTCTCCTGGTACAAAATTGGCACCGTTTGGATACAATAGAAAGAAACAAATTAACAGATAATGCGTCCGCGGTACCGAACAGCATGCCATTTTTTGTATTTAACTTTAAACAGATACCTCGCCTTTATATTTTTAATAATTTTAACTATTTATTTACAAAACTATGTATTCTTTTATAACTATATCTGTGTAAAAAAAAATTTTTTTCCAGCATTCCTTCACTTGTTTATCGATTACACCACAATTACCATGGGTAGACCCTTACCAACGACGTATTACTAAAATTACCATAAACTTTTTTAATTGTAACAAATAAAATTCACTATTTAACGGTGCAAAATCTAACAATGAAATCTAAAAAACTGATAAATTTTCTGTTGGAAAAACTTTATGTCTACACCGTTTTTCACAAAGTTCGCGTATAACGTCAAAACCCAGTGAGTTCATCGCTTGAAGGCTATGTGTTACACAGGGAAAATAGCAGTCTACGGTTATTCATATAGACGAACTCTTCTAACGGTTATTGGCGCATGCCCGAGTTAAAGTTAACGTTTGCGCTAAGCGATTGTTTATATTTTATCCTCTCACGTGGCCGGCATTTAGCGGAGCGTAACAAGTGTTTGTTTGCAGGATTTGATAATGTTGATATTTTGCCGGCGTTTTATCACACATATGTAGATATATATGTATATGTACATATGTATCCATTCAGTTCGACTAAATAGGTAAATGCCAGTTAAAAACGTAAACAATTGCGTAGACATGCGCATTGAAGATGTTTTGAATACACATCCGCGGATATATTCAAATTGGCTTGATATAATGCACAGATGAATGAAAATAACATATGTATGTATGGATGTACCCTTAAGTGTATATACATAAGTATAAGTGTAGTGTATGTATGTAACCTTCCCTAGAGGAGAAGTATATACATTAGTATGTCATACATATTTGAGTACCCTGCAGTGAAAAATTATCAATTGATAAAAATAACCAATTTGTAGTTAGCTTTTTTTTTACTTCCGAGAGACGACCGTCATTTAAAAAAAAAGTTTTCTTTTGTTTTATTTTAGATGTTAGTCGGAAATTGGGGTCGATCCCAGGCCCTGCGGTTTGGTAGTGCGCACTTCTAACCACTACACCACAACGGCCGCCATAAGTATACATAAATCCATTAGAGATGCCGTTTTTAAATCGATTAAATTTGAATTTGGTGCTGGTACAAAAAAAACAGAGCTGTTAAATTTCCATTACGATTAGTAATCATTAATTTTTATTGCATTTTTTAATTTTAATAATTATTTTATTTTCTTACATAACCCAGCCATTAATAATTAATTAACTTCTATATATAAATACGCCACAAGAAATTTTTGCAATCCCTTTTTTGAAAGCACCGCTCGCTCCATTTCAATGAAGAATATACCGATCTAAAGGGCATAGCTTTCTCTAATCCAGTAATGTTAATTCCGATACATAGGGGGCGTGGCATCTGACATATATACTAAAAGGTGAAAACCAATTATGCTGGGGAACTGAAACTTAGCACAGATGCATTGATTGTATATACCTTACTTACGGAGAAAAATGGTATGTACCGGGTAAGTGGGCGTGGCACTTCCCATACAAACTGAAATTCTCATATCTCTTATATCTGGAACCACTTATGCTAACGTCCTGAAATTGGACACAGCAACATATGTTGTCAATACCGTACTTACGGCGAAAAATGGTAGATTTTGGAAAAGGGGGCGTGGCACCGCCCATACAAACTAAAATTCTCATATGGCTTATCTCTGGAACCGCTTACTATAAGGTAATGGAATTTTATACACCTACATTTATACACATATAAAATCGCAAGAATCATTTAATTGTGAACGATTTTCTCCCAGATTTTAAAATCGCATTGAATGATTGTTGGTTTGTGCAAAAGTTTTTAGAAGGATCAGTGTGTTTGCTATCTATCTAAAAAATCTACTGCTACTATCCTAAAAAATCATATTTATGATCAGATTTGTTTCACTTTTAGAACACATATTAGTAACGTAAAATTTGGTGTAACTCGTGTGATGACAAAATATTCGGCTTTGGCCCAGTCTTGATAAAAACCCGTGTGAAACCGCCGTTAGAGAAGGAAATATTACCTTTTGTTGTAAAGCTTCAAGATACTTTCTCAACCCTTAACGATTTTGATGAAAACGAAAGAGTTTATGTAGATGTGGCAATTTAGTTTTTAACCTTCACGAGGCTATCAGACAAGTGGCTTGAAACCATTCTTTCAGCCGGCCTAAATGTTGATGTTGCTAGATAACTCATACGCCATGGCATGCCAAAAACTTTGGCTATTTAATAGACCAATAATCAAGTACTTGTGTTCGAGTTTTGAAATACGAGTTTTCCAGCCATCAAAAATTCCGAAAACCGATCCGAAAAAGGACAAAAAAGTGGATGAAGTGCGGATTTTTGTCCGTTTACTGATTCCATTTCCGGTATACTTTGACGATCCGTTTTCCCACTAAAGTATTAGGCACGAACGTATGTACAGACAGCAGTGTGTGAAGCGGATACGTTTTCGGCTGTTTTTTCTGAAACTTGTCTAATTGAATTTTTCGTTCAATACACTTTCCTTCTGCACTTCACAGATATTTATTCATGGTTCAAAAGAAATAAAATCAAATTAGGAAGCGCCTGACGGAATTCGAACCCGACTCCTTCTGGAAGTTAACAAATAGCGGCACACTCCTCTGCCGCACTCGTTTTCAGATACGGAAAATTGAACTAAACTGCACTGTCGGCAAAATTAACGTTTCTTTGCTGGCTGGGTTGGTAATAAAATTACAATAGTTCACAGTGATCCCGAACTCCGCTTGATTAATTGCATGCGAGACTAAATTGGTCGCTTGCCTTGGCGTATGAGTTATCTATGAATATTCGGTTAATCGTTTAACCGAATTATTCGAATATGACTGAAGTCAAATACAGTTAATCGATAGCGATATTCGAGTAGCCGAAAGCCGTCGACTATCTGATTAACCGCTCCCTTTTAGATTATTCGTTTAACCGTTCATTTCCGGTCAATCGAATATTTTAAGTTCGAGTTTTTTGCATTTATTCGTACATAAATATGAATATGAATAGTTTTGTTACATTCGTAATATTTAATATTGCATGTCGACGGCTAGTAGGAGGATCGACCTATCTCGACAGCCACTTCAGAATTTGATAGAACACCCTATTTCAGAATATTATTGAAAGACACCCTATCTTAGAATTTGGTTGAAGAACGCCCTATCGTAGAATTCGGTTCAAAAATGCCAAATCTCAAACCAAATTCAAAATCGATTTAATAAAAGTTAAATTTTGAAAAAAATGGACTTGGCACCTTTTCACCTTTAGGTAGCGATATGCTTTTTTCATTTGTGAAAAATTTCAATTCAATTTCAATGAAAGTTCGGCTACTGAAATTCGATTTGCTACAATACTCGAGTAGTCGAAGCAAAGCATCTATTCGAATAGTCGAAGGCGGGCGACTATTCGAATACCACTAACCGAATAATAGGCATGCGGACGGTTAGGAATCGAATAATCGGTTAATCTAATAGTCGGATAATTTTACTAGCCTTATTATGTACGTCGGTTGAAAGACAAATTCCCAGCCACTGTAAATTTTCTGTTTATTAAATTATTTAAGGCTTCAAAGGAAAAAATGTACCACTTACTAAAATATTTAAATTTATGACGAGTAAAGTAGGTTAAGCAGGTACTCTAGAAGAATCTGAAAAATATATACAGTACCCAAAATTATCTTTTCAATCATGTTGCACGCCTCATCTCCTCTGTTTATGGGGTTGAGTTGTTTATCCAATTGGATGGGATAGGGCAGCTTCATCTTCGGCCTTAACCTTCTTTTCCGGGTCTCTCAGGAAATCTTCCGTTCTTTTCGGTTGTTGCTGCAACGCTTTTTCACATGCATTAAGCGCGCTGCGCAGTTGGATGCCATTAAGAAAACTCGCCGCCTGTATTCCTCAATCAGATTCTCCTAATTCAGTCCAGCAGAGGGAGTCGAATTTCAGCATCTTGGTGACGGAGAAGAGACCTAACAAGACTAAGGGCACCGCCATTCTACACCTTTTCCAACAGTATTTTAGAAAAGCACAAAAGTATTTCAGAAAAGGCCAAATGCATTTCAGAAAAGGCTAAATGAAATTCAGAACACACAATTTTATTTCAGAAAAGCTGAAATGATTTTCCGAAAACAATTTTATTTCAGAAAAGCGCAAATGATTTCCAGAAAATCACAAATGTATTTCAGAAAAGGGCAAATGTATTTCCGGAAAATGCAAATGTATTTCAGAAAAATATTTTCAACTAGGAAAACTCTTGCAATGGCAAACCTGCGAGTGTATTTCTCATAAAATCCATTTTCCGTTCGGAGGCGGCTTAAAACTGTGGGTCCTTTCATTTGCGTAATTACATCAAGACGCACGCCACAAATTGGCCAAATATAATAATAAATTAATCCTCTACCCTTCCATCATTTCCTCCTTCGACTAATTGATGAAACCAGTTATACTAACGCAGCGCTTGTACCGGCCTTTTTTATAACATAAATGCGAATGTAGATGTATGTTTATTACATACCACCAGGCAATGCCAAAGCATCTGCGAAAAAATAGATGAGTAATCAATAGCACGAGCACAATCTGCAGTAGATATAGTTTCTTTCGATTGCTGTATTATTGAAGTGATACTTCTTAGTCGAGTTCGGAGATGGTTGCGTTAAATATTTAACACCAAGCCATAAACTCTGTATCGTTCGTTCGATTTTTAAAAATGAGGTGTCACATGAAAGGCCTTCTCCTTCTGGTTTACAACATAGCTTTAGTTCCATGAAAGGAGTTGCCACATGTTAGAAAATCGAATTCAAAATTTCTCTGCCGCAGAGGGTTGCGTAAAATATTTAACATCAAGTCATAAAATCTTTATCGTTCGTACGATTTTCAAAAATGAGGTGTCACATGAAAGGGCTTGACCTGCCTTGACCTTTTAAAGGGTTGCCATATATACGAAAATCAAATTCAAATTATTTATTAAGTTAAACGAATTATCCCAATAAGGGTATCAAAAGAAATGGTTTTGAATAAGTTTTATTTTTTAGCTAAATGTAGGAGGGTTGCCACCTGTTTCAAAAGTAAAATTTAGTTAAATTATACCAAAGTCTTACGCTTAAAATACTATACAGTACAGAAAGAGCTTACAGAAACACAATTAAAATATTTTTGAGGTGACTGAAGAGGGTGGCCACCTGTTTAAAAAGTTAAACTCAAATTATTAAAGCAAATCTTATTATTATAGCTCCGTTATGTTTGCGGTAAATATTTAACGCCACGGTACAGGTAGCATATGACGGGTATAGAATCGAA